TGAACACTGGTCTTTGTGTGGATATATGTTGTTATCTCCTTGGTTTTTCTAATTACTAATTAAAGACCCTACCTCCATATAAACCTCCACATAAACCTCACCACTTAACTTGTCCTGCTTCCAAAATGCCAAGTTAAGTGGGAGCTGGCTTCTCTCTCCATGGCTGCTGTGCCTTCTCTGGGCCATCTGATGACCCTGTTGAATTCTGAATCTGCACAGTTCCTTGAAATCTGGTTCATTCAGCTGGCATAAAACCTTACTGTCGATGTCACTCCCGGCCGGCAGGAAGGACACACGACAAAGTCTGGCAGTGGACAACCTTTTCTTTTATTTTCTCTCCGTACAGCCTGCCCTGGGATCGCTCCCAGCCGAAGCCTCCTCTGGTCCGCTCCCCGCGGCTCCTTCCGTGCTTCGCTCCGAAGCCTCTACCGGTCCGCTCTCCGCGGCTCCTTCCGGGCTTCTACTTCCCCCCAGGGGTGGCACCAGTATATATACGGATACAGTGTCCAATCATATTAAAGTAAGCAAGGCAAGCTGATTGGCTAACATATTATTGAGCGGGTTGTTTATGCGGTAAGCAGGAAACTAACGTGCTCGATGGGAGGGGTAATCTAACTCAGGCTTTGCTCTTTCCTACAGGCCTCACGTCCGCCAAGTAAGGCGACCGGGCTCGGGGCTGCGGCTCCCAACATCTCCCCCTTTTTTATTTTTTATGAATGTGCGCATCGTAGCCCTTCCTGGACTGGGTGCAGAGGCTTATGCCCTATGCGTAGGCCCACCGTAGGTCCTTGGCTTAGACCCTGGTCTGCCGTCCCATGGTCTGCCAAGGCCCTGAGGCCCTCGTCCTTTTTCTAGGGCCAGGCACAAACTGGACGGAACCTGGATGCACACAAGCTTGCACTCATTTCCTCTCCGTAAAGAAATCCCCTCGGAGAGAAATTTAGACCTGGGCAGCATCTAACAGTCCAGCGGCTTACGTGCAGGATGGGGTAGGGCCTGGCTTAGGTTGAGTCGCACCGGGGGAGTACGCTCTTACCCGTCATTGACTCTCCTACCCAGCTATGTCATAATTTTTTAGAGGAGGAGTGTGGGAAGCTCACCACCCCTAGACTCGGTCGTAGGCTAGGCGAGCGAGCCATGCATATGCCTGAGGATCTTCTTGTCCATTTCGGGCTACTGCTATTTCTATTCATCTTGTTGGTTGGTCTGTGATGGATCTCCGGTAGGGCAGGTCTGGTCTTCAGTCGAGGGCTTTGTCGCCCGTGTCAGTCTCTCCGGTACCCACAGTGGTTCTCGTCCCGATTCCTGCAGAAAAACACAAACCGCGCCTCGGTTCCAGCTGATTACCGGATCCGGGCCCATCCATTGTCATGCCATAGATAACCGCGCCTTTGGAGGCAGGCCTTGGCTTACTCCCCCTTTTTGTTTTTTATTTTTTATTTTTTATTTTTATCTTTTTCGTTTTTTTTTTTTTTTTTTATTGGTACCAGGGATCGAACTGGCTATTGCCTGCTTACAAGGCAGGCGCTTATGCCGCTGAGCTAAATCCCCAGCCCCCATTTCCTCGACCGGCGTTTTTCTCAGCCTGCTCGGCAGAGAGCTCTGTGTACCAGGCTCGCCAATCCAGGTAACTACCCGAGGGCAGACACGCCTTTGCCAGCTGAATCCAGTCCGCGGGGGTGAGGGGCCCAGAAGACAGGTTCTCCAGCATGGCAATGGTGTAAGGCGCAGTCGGCCCAAAGGTTGTAACTGCATTTTTAAGTTTTCTAATCTGTTTTATCTCAAAAGGCTCCCATGCATTACGTCCCTGGCCCATAGCTACTTGTACAGGAAATATCCCGTAGGGGCCACTATCTATCCCAGGTGGTGGATGTACCTCATGAGACAAACGTCCCCCCTGCCAAAGCCGCCTGTAAAAATACCGACCCGCCGGCGGCGGAGCATAAGACGGCGGCCGTGATTGGGCGGAAAATGGGGGCCCGTGCATCACTTCCTGTTCTGGCGAAAGGGGAGGGAGCTCCCACGCGGCCGCCTCGTGGCGAGGGATCGCTTCCGGGAACAGCCCCCAAGGTGGGGCGGAAGGCTTCGCCTCCCTCTCGCGCCAGGGGGCGCTCAGGAGCTCTCTACTCCTCCGCAGACCAAGTTGAGCGGAGCGCAATTCGCGGCGCAACGCTGGGAAAGAACCCTGCGACTCCTTATCGAGCGGCCTATCCTCTTGGCATCTAGGCTCCTTGGTCTCATCGTTGTCTAAGCCTTCCTCGTTCTCGGAGTCAGACGACTCCGAGGCCTGAGCCCCGTCTTCCTCCTTTATATCTTTGTCTCCTTTGACGGACCCCTCCCGGGAGCTCCCTGACTGGGCCTGTTCGAATGCCCTACGCACTTTAATGAGCTCTTGAGAACCTTCCCTGCAACCACCCTCGCTCTTCAAGCATGCATATATCATTTCCCACAGTGGCCGAGCGAAGACCGAAGCCCCGCCCTCCCTTTCCGCTAGAGAAAGATCCCTGCCCAACTTCTCCCACGAGGGCAGGTTTAAGTGCCCTGTGGGCAAGAACCAGGGAGCGAAACTATCAATCTCCTCAAAAAAGCTCTCCAGCGTTTTGCGTCCCACCTTGAGGTCTCTGGACTTTAAGAGCTTCCGGAGGACCTGTACCAAGGGCTGGGTGTCGTTACTCGGTACGTTACCCATATTTAATATGTTACTCACCGTGTGAGGCCCAAAAATCCGCCACTTACGCGTGAGCCTGAGGGGAGTCTAAAAACCCTGTAGGTGCGCGCCACCCAGGGCCCAGGTTTATCCCCTGCTCACCTGTCTCGCAGTGCTGTATCAAGGAACGTTGTCCACTACCACGTCTCGGGGGTGATCAGTTGTTCCCCGTGCGGGCCTCCAAATGTCGATGTCGCTCCCGGCCGGCAGGAAGGACACACGACAAAGTCTGGCAGTGGACAACCTTTTCTTTTATTTTCTCTCCGTACAGCCTGCCCTGGGATCGCTCCCAGCCGAAGCCTCCTCTGGTCCGCTCCCCGCGGCTCCTTCCGTGCTTCGCTCCGAAGCCTCTACCGGTCCGCTCTCCGCGGCTCCTTCCGGGCTCCGCTCCGAAGCCTCTACCGGTCCGCTCTCCGCGGCTCCTTTTGGGCTTCGCTCCGAAGCCTCTACCGGTCCGCTCTCCGCGGCTCCTTCCGGGCTTCGCTCCGAAGCCTCTACCGGTCCGCTCTCCGCGGCTCCTTCCGGGCTTCTACTTCCCCCCAGGGGTGGCACCAGTATATATACGGATACAGTGTCCAATCATATTAAAGTAAGCAAGGCAAGCTGATTGGCTAACATATTATTGAGCGGGTTGTTTACACGGTAAGCAGGAAACTAACGTGCTCGATGGGAGGGGTAATCTAACTCAGGCTTTGCTCTTTCCTACAGGCCTCACGTCCGCCAAGTAAGGTGACCGGGCTCGGGGCTGCGGCTCCCAACACCTTACCAGACAATGTGGGCCTCAGTCCCAGGCTCCAAGGTGATTATTGTCTTAGTTCACAATTACATGGCGGGTAGAGACTCTAGTAGTTAGAACAACCAAGGAGATAACAGTATGTGTAACTCAAGTCTCTTATGGTTACCTATTCAGTACTTCCGTATGGTCCCAATTTGTAAATGTAAATGTATGCACATGTGAATGTACAAAATAGATACCTTCAAACATTGTCACAACGGTTAATTTTAGGATCATGGAATGAGTTTTTCTTTCTTCTCTGCGCTTTGATACCGCATGGGGAGGGTGTGGAGGTCTGGTGGGGTTTGTTGGCTTGCTAAGCTCTGGAGCAGCCACAGTACACAGCCAGTTTTATGAGGCTGCGGGGGCTTAGGGAGACCCAGAAGGTCACTAAATATCCACCAGGGTCATACAGCTGATGAGTCCTAAGTGTGAAGTTGGAACCAACCTAGACAGTCCCCAAAGCCTGTGGTCAGCCTGATCTTGGCACCTATGGGTGACAGATTTTCCTCAAGTTGGGGAATGTGCTCTACCCAATTATCCATAACAGACAGAACAAGGGAACCAGCTTTGAAACGCTCTATTCTATCTCCTTTCTGCCACTGAAGCCAGAAGTCAGCAAAACAAAGAACTGTCTATGCTTTCTCATGGCCTACAGCCCCAGAGGCCAACCATCTATGGCCTGGCCCCTGATGAGCACTGCCATCCTCCAGCCCTACTCTCTCCTCACCCCCTCTTCACTGACCAACAGTGCCCTCTAACAGCCCTGCTAGGGTCTGCTGACCATGGCCACAAAGCTCTGGAAGGTTGTAGGTGACTATTTTTCTGAACATCACATCTCTTTTGCTTGTACTTCTGCCTCCTGCACTCTTGGGATACTGATAAGTACTCTGGCCTGCCACTCTCAACCACCCTTTGTGGACAGGTCCTGGGCTTGACCACTTTTTTGTCCTCTGTGACCACTGGCAATAGTGTCTTTATGGATGAAACTGAGTGTTCCAGATGAGAAGGAGATGAAGAAAAGCAACAGCTCAGAGACCCCAGGTACAACCCAGGCACAACAGGCACCATCCCCAAAATAGTTGGGGGGGCTCTCAGTCTAGCAGTCTCCATCCCCTGCTCCTACCGTGTTCAGATCCACAGACAGGCTATAGCTACACTGACTCCCCCTAATAGCTTGACGCTAGGGTTGGCTCCTCCTTTTTATACTTTGTTCAGAAGACCTTTATAAAGCTTGAGTTCCTTGATTGTCAGGGAACATAGTACTGGAGAACTCTCTATAAGAAGTACCTAAGAGCTTTCGAGATATTTTGGTTTCAGGAGAACTTAACACCAAGCCACCTACCCACAGCTTCACAGTACAATCATAGGTGCCACTGAAGAGCTTTGTGTCATTCACACAGAAGTGGCACAACATGCTCATGCCCTCTCAGAATATTAAATGGGATCTGAAAGAAAGGGTTGAACAAACAAGTTCAATAAGGTTGCAGGAAACAAGATCAATATTAAAAAAATCAATTGTATTTTAAAAAAATTTTTATTTAAAGAAAGACTAAGCAAAACAGAAAATAAGTAGAAATAATACATACGTTCAGAGAAAAAAATAAACAGTAAGAAATCACTAGTTGACGTTTACATATTGTCATTTTACAAATAGTTGTTCAAGGTACAAGAATGGAATATGTAGAGTGGGAATTCAAACAGTGAGATGGCAAACAGTTCTGTTCAACTGTCCAACAAAAACTTAGTAACATGATTGTCAATCCTATACACTTAAACATACATGCAGTTATCCATCTCTTCAATTATGCTGACATTGAATAAACCCAATCAGGCTAATATCACTCTGAACAAAGAATAATACTATTGCTGGGTTTCACATTATGACACACCAGGATCAGCACTGGGTATTTTAGTGTTTCTTTTTCTTCAAAGTATCTGTTCATTTCATCATGTGTCATAAGATCTGTTCTCATAAACTGTTTACAGATTCTACATATGCATGAGTCTTAACATGTATTTCTATCCTTTCTATATTAGAGGGAGAAACAAAACAAAACATATTCCTATAAACACATGAAATGAAATAAACGTATAAGACCATTGTACGAAGAGTTCTACCATGGTTCCTCTGTTGTCTCTTGTTATCTCCAATAGAATTGGCTGTATCATCAGACATAGTATAATTGAATATATCAGTACATAACAGTATTAATAAAAACACAACTTTGTGTATAGTATAGAACTTCAAAACCTGGCAGTTATCAAACCAGAATGTGTATCAGAGAGTCTTGTCATCTTCCGCGTAGTTGCTTACACTCTCAGACTTGATACTATCAATCATATCAGTTTTGAGTAAAAATCTTCTCTGCCTCATTTCTGTTGTGCTCTTGTTTGCCATCAGTTGTCTGCTTGTCTTCTTCATTCTGTTTTCTGCTCCATTCATTGAGGCCTCTCTGCCACTGTTCCTGGAATCCTAGTACTTTTCTCTCTCTCTCTAGAATGCCCTGCAGTAGTCTCTGTAGATTTGGATTGGTGATTGTGAATTACCCAAGTCCCTCTTTGTCTTGGAAGCATCTTGTTTCTCCACTAATTTCTAGAGACAGTTTATCAGGGTATATCAATCTGGACTGGAGGTTATTTTCTTTCAGGGCTTGGACTATTTCGCTCCAGGCTCTTCTTGACTTGATGGTTTGTGTCAAGAAGTCTGCCGTTATTCTGATGGGCATTCCTCTATAGGTTATCTGTTTCTTGTCTCTAACAGCTTTTAATATTTTGTTCTTGTACTGAATTTCTGGGATCTTGATTATTATATGCCTGAGTGTAGCTCTGTTTTGGCTGTAGGTGGCTGGAGTTCTGTATGCCTCATACATCTGCATATCATTTCCTTTTCCTATGTTTGGGAAGTTTTCCTTAATTATTTCTGTGAATAACCTTTGTAGTTCCTTTGTTTTTGCCCCAGCTTCTTTTTTTTTTTTTTAAATTTTATTTAAGGAGAAAAGAAAAAAGAAGCAGGGAAAGGGTACAAGTTATACAGATTTACAGAAAAAAAATGAACAGTAGGAAATCACTAGTTAATGGATTACATATTGTCATCTTAGAAATAATTGTTCAAGTCACAAAATTAAAGCTTGTAAAGTGGACATTCCATCAATGATACTGCAAACAGTTCTGTTCATTGATCCAATAAAACTCTGTGATATCATTTTCTATCTTATACACTTAAATATACATGCAGTTATATAGTTTGGAGCACTTTCTTTTCCTCTCTTTTGTATCATGACTATTACACATTTTGGGTTTCATTGCTCCCACGGTTCTTATTATTTTTTTGGAAGAGAGTAAAACCAAATGTGACATAACAGAACAGAATCGGTCAAGTCAAAAGGGTGGACATAATAGATAATGTAAAAACATAATACAAGGTGATCAACAATGGTTACCATAATGCCTCCCGCTATCTCTAATAGAATTGCCTATATCATTAGTTATAATACAATTGAACAAAACAGTAAAGAATAAAACCGACAAAACCAAAACATTGGAAACATTGTAGGTCTTCAAAAGTAGATAAAAGTCAACAAGAATGGGCGTCATAATGAATCTCATTATCTTCACAGCTGATGCCTAAACTTTTGAACCTGATACTATCCAGCAAAACAGAATAGGGGAACATCAGTTAAAAACCAGATGGTGAGAGTAATACAGGGCTTCAAATCAAGGTAATGAAAAGTCAAAGTGGGTTACTATAATATATCCTGCTATTTTTTTCCCTTTAATTAAAAGGATAAAGATAAAAAAGTAAATAATGGAGTGGAGATTGAGATAAAAGAGGGCATAACAACGAAACAGCGCAGATCAAAACATAACCATTTAAGCAGAATAGTGTTTCACCACCAGATAATCCTGACCTAAAAGTAGTTACCATACTGTTTCTTTCTTTGAAATCCTTGAGTACAACTTCGTATACTGTAGCATTAAGTATATCAAAACAATGTAAAACCATTCAAGAGAATGACAGCATTACAGAGTATTTAGAATCGACTAACAGAAAATGAACAATGGTTTCTGTATAATCTCCTTGTCTTTAAAAGGTTTTTGCTTATACTATCGTACATAATAAAATCCAATAAGATACAGCCTATTTAGACCATTGAAGACAAAAGCTAGATGAGACTTCAAAACAAGATGATACTAAATCAGTATTACCTATTAAGATGTCATTTTCTCCAAAATAGCTGTTCCTATCATCCAATCTTCTCTGCCTCATTTCTGTTAAGCTCTTTTTCTGTCAGTAGCTGTCAGTTTGTCTTCTTCATTTTGTCTCTGCTCCATTTGTTGTGGCCTCTCTGCCATTATTTCTGGATTCTTTGTATTTTTCTTTTTTTAGAATATCCTGCAATACTCTCTGTAGAGTTGAATTGGTGGTTGCAAATTCCCCCAGTTCCTCTTTATCCTGGAAGCACCTTGTTTTTCCATCAATTTCCAGGGACAGTTGTGCAGGATATATCAATCTTGGCTGGAGATTATTATCTTTCAAAGCTTGAATTATTTCCCCCCACGCTCTTCGTGATTTGATGGTTTGTGCAGAGAAATCTGCTGTAATTCTGATGGGTGTTCCCTTGTAAGTGGTCTGTTTCTTGTCTCTTACAGCTTTTAATATTCTGTTCTTGTATTGAATTTCTGGAATTTTTATTATTATATGCCTGGGTGTTGCTCTGTTTGGGTTGTAGGTAGCTGGGGTCCTGTATGCCTCATACATCTGAGTATCTTTACCTTTTGCTAAATTAGGAAAATTCTCCTGGATTATTTCTGTGAGTAGCTTTTGTAGTTCATTTGTTTGTGTCCCTACTTCTTCTTTTATGTTCTTAATCCTTAAGTTATGGATCCTCTTATCATCTTCTTGTCTTTGTATTATTGCTGTTTGTTTCTTTGTTATTTTTAAGAAGTTTTTCATTTCATTCTCCCATATTACAAGTCTGCCCTCCAGTTCAGATAGTCTGTCCTTAGTTTCTTTAAAGCTGTTATGCCAGTCTTCTATAGACTTCTTAGTATCTTGGTAGTCCCTTTGAACCTGCTTCACGTATTCTATGCTTTCTCTGTTTTCTCCATCAAACAATTCTCCCCTTTTTTTCTGTTCTTCCATTCCACCACCTGTTTTTTCTTGGGTGGTACTTAGCATTTCTCTAACTATTCTGCATACTTCTAGCTTCAGGTCATTGATAACTTCATTCCTGAATTGGTCTATGAGGCTCTCTATATGGTGCCTTATGTGTATTGGTGCGGTGTCTGCTATTGCCTGTTTCTCAGAATTGGGGGCCGAGGAGCCTTTCTTGTTGCTGCCTCTTCCCATGCTGCCTCTTCTTCTCTGTTCCTTATATATGCAAGCTTATATAAGAGGCCCAGCTTCTCTCCCAGTCAGCCACAGCCTGATCGAATTGCGCCAGTTAGTTGTTCCCGCTCACCGCTGCGCACCAGGGAGTTACGGACCAGGCAGCCTACGCGTCTCCCCTCCCGGCCACCGTCAGGCTCTGGGATCTGGGTTGGGACAGTCTACCAGGTCCGCCGGCAGCGTCACGCAGGCCAGGCACTTTTCACCAATCCCGCCCGAGAGGGGGATGTGTGACTGGAGTCGGCCACCGCGCCCTGCTCCTGCAGGACTGCTCAGACCCAGAAAGTCCTCCGCTGGAGTCAAACTGTGGTAGAGTGTCAGTTTCTCTCACTCACCTCACCATAAGTCAGTGCACGCCTCCCTGCGGTTCGCAGATTGCCGTTCTCAGAGCTTCCGCGCGTCTCTCTCCTTGCCGAGCCGCTGTAGAGGCAGCCAGCCGCCGTGCGGCGGGAAACCCAAATCGCGGCTTACAATGGCGCGGTTCCAGCCTCCACACCGAGTCTTTTCTGTTCCTGTTTTAGCACCAGGACTGCATTCCAAGTTGGCTTCTCTCAGCCCAGTTCGTTCCTGAGTCAGCAGAGCATATCTCCACCTGCTTATGTCTCCTTAGTCCGCACCATTCCTGGCTTCTGAGCCAAGTCTTTCAGAGAGCCTCCGGTAGTTGCTGTTATCTGTCCGCCATGTTCTCCCGGTGCCCCAGCTTCTTCATTCACATTCTTTATTCTCAAGTTATAGAACCTTTTGTCATCTAAAATGTCTTTGTATTGTTACTGCTTGTTTCCTTGTTATTTTTAAAAAGTTTTCCCTTTCATACTCCCACATTGCAAAATTATCCTCCAGTTTGGATAATCTATCCTTAGTTTCTTTCAAGCTGATTTGCCATCTTTCCATAGAGTTTTTAATTTCCTGGTGATCTTTTTGAATCTGCTTCATGTATTCTATACTTTTTTGTATTCTTCATCAAATGGTTCTCTCCTTTGAGTTCCTCCCTTCTTCCATCTGTGTCTGCTTGAGGGGTGCTTAGTATCTCTTTAATTAATTTTCTTATGTCTTGCTTTATTTGGCTAAGTATTTCACTTTCGAACTTGTCTATGAGGTCCCGAATATATGTCTTTACGTCTACTGGTGCTGTGTTTGATATTGCATGTTTGCTATTCTCATTCTCCTTTGTACTTACCTGTCCTGGGTCAGTGTTCTCAGGGTTGGGACCTGGGGACTTTTTGTTGTTGCTTCCTCTTCCCATCTTTTTTGCTTCTTCCAGGAAAGAAGCTTCCCAGTTTCTTTCTTTGTTGGTTACAATTCTTCTGAAGTGCACTGGCTAGATGACCCTTCCCACTGCAGTGTGCTAGTGAGTTGCAGACAGGGCCAGCATATGCTGGCCCCTCCCCTCAAGATGCTGTGGCCTGCATGTATTACTTTGTATCCCTCCCCTCCAGGTGGCTGCAGCTGGAGCATGACGGCAGTGGGCAGTGTCGTGGCAGTGGTGGTGGAGGCAGCAGCGGTGGTGGACTTTGTGCTGCCTCCCCTCCGGGTGGGCGGCCACAGTGGGTCAGGGGTGGGGGCAGCTGTGGGTGCCCAGTCACTCCTGGGCCGGGGCGACAGGTTTTGCTGGCAGCCCGGAGGTGCTGCAGGCAGTGGCTGGAGTGCGGTGGCACGGGGATCTGTCAAGTTGCTGTGACATGCATTGCATTTCCTTGCACCACCTCCCCTCCAGATGAGTCAACTTGCTGTGGCCCGCACTGTCAGTCAAACTTCTAAGATTTTACTGGGTTAGTGTGGTTAGTGTGCACCATCACTGTAGGGACTTGATTTCGGATAACCTATTGGGTCTCAGCCAAGTCACGTGACCCAGGCCTAGCTTAATCCACCAATCCCATTCGGGAAGGGAGCAACTGACTGAAGTCGCTGCTGCCCCTTGTACTTGCCAGTCCTCCTCAGTCCCAGAATGTCATCTGCCGGAGCCCCCCTATTTATGGAATGGCTCCACTCCTGTCACTCACCACAGGTGATGTAGGCACCCTGTCAACTCAGCTCTCTTTTCGGCTTGTGGAAGCTCGGCAAGTTGCAGCAGGACCTCGGCAAGCTGTGGTGGGACCTCGGCTTGCCCAGGTGGGATGTGTCGGGACCTCGGATGATCAGCAAGTTGCCTTAATTTCTTCTTGGGGCAAGAGAATTCATCTTCCTCTGTTTGGGGCTCCCCACTCTGTATTATGTTGAATTCTAAGTTGACTATCTCCAGACATCTGAATATTTATTGCTTTCTTTTTCTTACTTTCAATTTCTGATTCAGTTGTTGGAGGTTTCAGTCCATACTCAGTTGGCTCCAAAGCAGCATGGTATGGTGGGGCAGACCTAAAAAATCAATTGTATTTTTAAATACTTGCCATGAGCATCTGAAAAAAAATTTCATTTACAAAATTATCAGAGAGAATAGGTAGAAATTAAACAAGTGTGGAACTTCTGAAAATTATAAAACATTGTTGAGAGAAATTAAAGACCTAAATAAATGGAAAAACAGTGTTCATACATTGGCAGACATAGTATTGTTAAGATGATAATACTCTCTAAAATGATCCATAGATTCAGCATCATCTCATCAAGTTTTTCCTTATAGATTTCTTTGTAGAGCTAACAAGGCAATCTTAAAACTTACATGGAAATTTGAGAGAATCTGAACCAATCTTTAAAAAGAATAACAAAGATGGGGGACTCACATGTTCTGATGTTGAAGTTTCCTATGAAGCAACTAATCAAGTATAGTACTTACTGTAAGGGCACAAAGATAGAAATATAAATCAATCAAATGTAACTGATAATCCAGAAAGGAACACTTGTATTTATTGTTAACTAATCTTTTAATGAGTGTCAAGGCAATTAAATAGGGGAGAAAATAGTTGTTTTTTTTTTTTTTAAACCAAGTTATCTTGGGAAATTCCCATACAGAACACATTAAGGTGTTCCAGCTCCACTCCTTCAGGTAACTTCTCTGAACCTTTCCAAACTCTTCCCACAAGTCATTCCCAAAGGCTCTTGAACCACATGGTCAGGAATAATCATATTAATGAACCACTCACAAAATTCTGCCTTGCTTACTTTTCTCTCATTGCTGAGACAAAATACCTGACACTCTAAATGAAAGAAGGAAAGATTTATTTAGCTTATAGTTTGTGGAGATTTTGGTCCATAATCAGCTGACATAACCAGCAGAGTAGCATATGGCAAAGGGCAACAGTTCATGACAGCAGAAGACAGCAAAAGCAGTAAGAGTATATTACTGCTACTTGCTCCTGGGCAGGTGCAGCACTCACACCACCAATCCCAGCGCTAGACAATGAACCAATCACAAATGCTATACTCAGCTGCCTTCAAAATGCATACTACTCCATGACTGCATGAGGCTTTGGGGGGACATCTAGACACAAATCATGATCACCAAAGAAAAAATAAAAAAGATAATATAATGGGAAGACATTTTTCCGAATTACATATGTGACAATGGGCTTATATCTAGACTATACAGCTCAGCAATAAAAAAATGCAATTTAAAAATGGGTAAATAGATATTTCTCCAAAATATGCAAATGATTGACAGCACATGAAGAGATTCTCAACGTTATCAGCCATCAGAGAAATAGAAGTGGGAGCCACAGTGTGATACCATGCCATATTTGTAAAGATAGCTTTAACAATAAATGTTGTCAAGGATGTGAAAAAACAGAACCATCACACATGGCTGGTGGAAATATAAAATTGTACAGCCACTTTGGAAAACAGTTTGGCAAGTCTTCAGAATGTTAAACTTGTGAGTTAAAATATGACCCACTAATTTAATACCTAGGCATACACTCCATAGAAATGAAAATATCCACTAAAAATCTTACATATGTACAGAATGTTGGTGATAACATCATTCATTAAGTCGAAACAACCCAGACATCCATCAACTGATGAATGAATACAGAAACTGTGTCATAGGTACCAAAAGAATATTAGTTGGAAATAAAAAGGAATAAAGTGTGGATGAACACTTTATGATGAACATCCGTGTGGATGAACCTTGAAATACTGGGCTAAGGAAAAGAAACCTATCACAGAAGACCTCATAGTGTCACTTGATGCTATCACTATGAAAGGTCTAGAACAGGAAAATCTGTGGAGACAGAAAGGAGACTGGTAACTGCCTAGGGCTGGCAGAAAGGGCTTTGAGGAAATGGGGTGACTGCTGATGGGCACCAGGTGTCATTTTGTGTGATGAAAACATGCTAACATTGACTGTGGTTATGACTATGCAAGTCTGTGAATGCACTAAAAACCACTGAATAGTAGAATTATATGGAATATGAATTATTACTCATAAAGCTAAAAATAAAGACACTTAGCCTGAGAACAAAAGCCCCCCCCCCATTGCCACGAGCTGGGGTGCTGGGTCAGAATGCGGGAGAGCTGGCTTTGGGAGCTTGGGAGGTGTGAGTGCGGGACGCCGGACAAAGCGTTTGGACTCGGCTGCCTGAGCGCAGGATGCGTGGACAGTGAGAGGGAGGTGCAGGCGGAGGGTGAAAGCAAGGTAGGGGGCTGGGGACGGCAATGTCGTGGGAGTGTAGGGGTGAGAAGACACCGCCTCCTAGGGGCTCGGGAGTGGGAACTCGGCGAGGCGCCTGCCGCCAGGGGGTGTGGGGGGAGCTGTGCTAGGTGGCAGACGCAGGGCCACCTCCGGGGGCCACAGCCCAGCCTGGCGGCTCCCAGAGGCGCCCTTGTTTCCCAGCCAGCAGAATGTGGAAACGGGGTCACCGGGGTCTGTTCCAGCTGGCCCTGCCGCAGCCTCTCCTGGGGGGCCACAGAGGGGCGAGGCTGGGGTGGAGGACTGGACCCAGGACCCGGGGCTTCCCTGAGGCTCTGACCTTGGAGAGGGGCTCCTGGTCGCCCCAGAGCGCCTGTGGCATCGTGGGGTACTGCACAGACGGCAGAGAGTACTTGTTCAAGGCCAGGGGGTCCAGCGAGGCCAGCAGCTGGTCGCGGCGCAGCGCCGGGAGCGACATCCTGAAGTGGCTCACGGCTGTCACCACGGTGGCCCAGGGCACCCCGTGGGGCGAGAGCGACTGGACCGCGAGCATCCCCTTCGGGTTCTCGGCCCAGGTTTTCTGGGAGTCCGGCGGCGGCGAGGCCATCTCGGATCCCGAGCGCCAGTGGCCGCCCAGGCCTGGCGCTGGACGGTGGCAACCGCACCCCTGCGCCCCGCGCCGCCCCGGCCTTCGGACCCACGCGCCTCCCCGCGGAGCCTCCCACGCGGACCCCGCTGCCCCCGGAAAAACAAGCTCGGGTGCTGGGCACAAGAGCCCTTGTTTCATCCTTTTGGGTCTCCCCAGCAGGGGGAGTTCTGTGTTCTGGGCTCTGGGGAGCTGCTGGCAAGCTCTCTGTGTCAACTGATGGAGAAACAGTCAATAGCTGAAGGAAAGGCCCCTGCGAAATAGTGGGATCACACAGCACAGGAGATTGTAAGGGAAAGATGTCACTAAATCAGCGACAGATGGGGAGAACAAAATGCTGCCTCTTGTCTGACAACAGGCCCTTGGCCAGGAAACAGAAGACTGGATGGAACTATTCCAAAATACCAAAGGTCGTCATCTTTGGGTGGTAAAACTAGACTTGATTTTTTCCCTCTCTTCCACTCTAAAATTATTCTGATCTGTAAGGTTTCTTTCATAATTTAAAAACCTCTGCCCTTGGCTGCGGTGGAAGCCGGAGCCCTACTCATGCTGGGCAAGTGCTCTGCCTCTGAGCTGCACCCCAGTTCTGCAGTTCATTCTTTGAAAAGGTTTGTCTTCAGTGCATAGGAGGTGGTCTCCTACAAGGGACCCTACAAGGAGCCCTGCTCTGGGGCACATTCTTTCCTTAGGTTTCACCACCTGTCTTAGATACGTGAGTGACGTCTCTGAGAGGATATGGCCTCCAGCCTGGACCCTGGCTCTGTACTGCCCAAGGTGCTCTGGCCACCACCACAACCTGATATGGGGTGCTTCACTCCCAAGGCACGGGGTGGAAAGCAGCTGCTTCCCTCTTCATGCAGTCCAAACTGTTCTTACCAAATTCAGCTGTCTTCATAACGAAACCAGAGGATACTCTTTACTTTTAATTTCTTATAAAACTTCCAGGAAATTAAAAGAGTCAAGAAGAAAATAGAAAAAAATGCCACTTTAATTAAACTGTTCAATCTGAATTTTTCCCACTGACACCAACTGAAATTAAAATAGAAGTCAATTTCTGCAGCCTTTCAAGGCAGCTTTTGAAATGTCAAGGTTTTAAAAATTATTTTACAGCACAAATTTACATATAAATACAATCTGTACCATGTATTAACTGAACAGTCAATGAGCTTCCATCACAGAGGAGATCTGATACTGAGACAGGCCAGACAGGATTGAATCACTGACTCTTTAGTGGGAGACATTTCAACCTGAAGAAGAAAACAGAAAAGAGAGAAATGGTAAGTTAGATACAAACTGAAAGCCAAACAGCACTGGGGCTCTTGCTCAGTGGTAGAGTGCTTCTAGGTTGGATTCTCAGTAGTGAAGAAGAAAAACAAAAAATCCAAACAACTCTCTAAGGACTAAAAATGTCACATTTTGCCCCGGCTCACATAAAAACCTGCATCTACAAAATACAAGGGATGACTGCACACTAGGAAGCCTGGCTTAATCTGTATCGTCAGCTGCTTCTTCTCTTACCCTAAAACACACACAGAGCCATAACCTTCCTGTCTTATATTAGAACACATTTATAAGAACAATTTCTAATCCCAGTTGCACTTCTCCACCTTATCCATTTATAACCTTCAGAAAGGAATTAAAATATTATTTTATTTATTTATTTATTTTTGGTACCGGGGATTGAACTCATGACTGTGCCAGCCAGGCACTTACGCCACTGAACTATTTTAATTCCCGGACCAGGAATTAAAATATGTTTGCTCCAGGGCCCAAATCCTGGTAGGATTGTTGGATTTACATCTCAGTTTCATACATCCAATAGTTCATGGTTGCTCTCCTCAGAGTAGAGCTGGTTTACATTGATCCTAGGTCTTTGCTCTGCATAGAAATAAAAACATCCATGATGACAGAATAGCTGGATACACTGTGATGTATTTGTAGCAAAAAAAAAAAAAAAAATGCCCCTGCCTGGTATACTTCAATTTCTGTTGTTGCCCAGGTAACAGTTCCTGTTACAGTTCTTGTTACTTCTGTTTCTTAGAAACAGCTGGACACTATGATGCATATTGATCACCAAATACTCTGTTTCTGTACTTTCTTCCTACTATAAGCTCCAAAATACCAGGGCCTGACATTTTTTCCCTAGAGATCAGTGCCTGTTGACGTAAATATGTCTGCTTCCAAATTGTGGGTAATGTTCTATGTTTGCCATTGCATATTTACAAAAAGGAATACTCCAAATCACCAAGAATGGTCCAGCTATTGCCATCTAGGAATTTCCTAAACCAGATGCCAAAGGTACCATACAACAAAATTCCTAAAGTTGAAAACTACCAAGAGTAATCAGTAGTGATAGAATCCAGGAGACTGCTTACCTTTGGGGAGGAGGGAAAGGATGGTCACTGGGAGGAGAGAGGAGAGGGCTTTCTTCTTGATCTAGGTGCTTTCCCCACGAGTGTACTCAGGTAGTGGAAATGTGTGGAACCCTGAACTTAAGCTGTTTGCACATTCACATATGTGTATGCAATAAAAAGTTGACCTAACTGTATGATTCCGTTTCCATGGCATCCCAAAACATGCAAAGCTAGCATATAGTAAGTGAAAGGAAACAGATCAGAGTCTCCTGGGGGGAAAAGGGGCAGACTGCAACTGCTACCAGAACCAGGCTATGCTGCCACTGAAGAAAAGTATCAAGGACCCTTGCCAAGAGTGAGACCCCATGCCAGTGCTGGGGATGCAGACATGCACAGTTGTAGCCCCCACATTTGTCACATGCAGGAGACACATGCAGACAGTCAAAGCATAGAGAGGGGGTGCTCTTTTGATGACAGCTCCCCACCCTGGGATCCTTGGGAGGAGCCTAGGAGGCTTGAGGATAAGAGGCCATAAGAATCATACCTCTAAGCAACCAAAGAGTGATATTTCTTTTTTACCACCAACCCTCTCTTCCACTCCTCCCAGCCTTTCTTCAGAGATAAGTGCTCTTGAGTGTATGGTAAGAGTGCCTTCAGGTTTCTTGTGTCAAAAGGTATGTGCTATGTATGGTCTGAATATGAATCCCCAAAGGCCACATGTTAAACTTGCCTCCCCCACACAATGGTGGTACTGGGAGACAACAGAACTTTTAAGAGGTGGAAACTAGTGGTAGGTCTTTAGGTCATCGAGGGTGTGCCCTTGAAGGAGACAAAGGCATCCAGCCTCTTCCTCTTGTTCCTTTCTACTTGCTGGCCATGAGGTGAACAGTATTGTTTTATCTTATGCTCGTGCTTTAATGTGCTGCCTCATTGGAGGCCTAAGAGAACACAGCAACCGACCATGGACCAGATGCTCTAAAACTGTAGACCAAAATAAACTCTCTCTCTTCATAATTTGATTATTTCAGATGATATTTCCCTCTTCACCTTGGGACCACAGCTGAGATGCCCTTCCCCATCCTGGGGTGGCAGGTAGGTCACACAGCTGTCGTGGCCTATAAACTGTGGCTGGAAGAGCCATCTCCAACTTTCAGGGTACCTCTGACCCATCCACCTCCTAAGAAGACCATGTGCTGAAGTGGGAGAGAACTGGGGTCCTTGATTATATTCATGCTTTCCTGTGCTACGGAGTGCCAGAAGGGATCTCTTTTCTTTTTGTTTTTTGAGACAGGGTCTTGCTATGTAGCCCAGGCTGGCCTTAAACTTGTAGCAATCTTCCTTCTTCAGCCTTCAGAGTGCTGAGATTACAGGTGTGCACCACCACACCTGGCCTATGGGCCTCTATTCCGTTATAACTAGCTTACTCACTCTGACTAATATAATTGGCTATCTAGTTGGGAAAAAATAGCTTAGATGTCTACCTTACTCTGTTCCCAACAAAATAAAATGAGCCAAATGGATTAAAACAGAAACAAAACTATAAACTCATTAGGGCAATGTGTGTACATGTGTGGGAAAGATGTGTGTGTGTGTGTGTGTGTGTGTGTGTGTGTGTGTGATATGTACATAAACATCTTGAGAGGAAGGCCTTTTTTATTCTTTCCCCAGTACTAGGCACTGAATCAGGGTCTTTTCACTGAACTGCATCCCTAGATCATTTGTTATTTTTTGTTTTGAGTTGGGGTCTAAACTGTTAAGTTACCCAGACTGGGCTTGAACTTGTTCTCCTCCTGCCTCAGCCTCCCATAGTGCTGCAATTACAGGGTGCACCAACACATCTAGCTAAGGGAAACTTTTTAAAAAGGTAAAATTGTAGTCAGGCATGGTGGTGGGTGCCTTGTGATAATGTAATTTGTAATAATAACAAAGTAGTTGAGGGCAAGGGGAAGTTCAGTGGTAGAGTATTTGCTTAGTAAAGCTCAAGGTTCCATCTCTAGTACTGTATATACAATAGTAATAGTAATAATAATAATAATAATCCCAGCAGTCTAGGAGGTTTGAGGCAGTGGGGTGACAAGTTCAAGACCAGCCCAGTCAACTTAGTGAGTTAGTGTCATCATGTCTCAGAATGAAAAATACAAAACAGGATGGGGATATAGATCAGTAAGAAGGCCCTGAGTTTGATTCCCCGTACAGGAAAAACAAAGAGTAGTTGAGAAATGCTCAAGATAACCTTCACTTAATATAGTTTATAATGAATAAACACTGTTTTATTGTTAATATTCAAACTCTACTCATATTTTTTTCTCCCTACTTTTTGATTTTAACCAAAAAAATTTTGTTTTAAAGTACAGCTATATAAATTAAAGTATGTTTTAAAAGAAAAACAAAGAGTCTGAAAAGCAGCGTGTGAACTGAATGTCGGCATTTCTGTTAGGCCCAGGGGACACGAGCTCCCCTCCCTGCATGGCTCCTGTGCTGTTCCCG